CTTTCAAGTTTATTATTTATTATTTACCGGACTCAGCCCTGACCGACGACACGTATGATAGGCAAACAAGTAAATTTAATTACGTATGATCAGGGCTGAGTTTGGTAAATAATAAATAATAACTCGACATTCGAAATCAGGTTTTCCCTGGCATCACTCACATATGAAACATATATCATATCGATATACAGCTAATGCTAAGAAAATAACCATCTTACACCCGGTGGAACACACGAAATTTTCACATCATGTTGTTTGGATAACATTATGAACAGATGTATATGGCTAAGAGATAAGAAATTACAAATTTTAAAGAGTTATATTGCATAATTTTATTAATACAACTACCTTTGTGTCTTAAGTAAAAAATGATCCTAAATTAATTATGTAAAAATTAATTTTTAAAAAATTTGTCAGTTTACCCCCCTTTTTGCAGCACCAAGCCTATATACATAATTTCTTACATAGGCAAGTGTTGATTGAAAATAGAAGTTTATTAATAGCCTCTGATATTTCTAAATGTAACGATCTCGAAATGAACAGTCCAAACATACAAAGCACTTAATAAAATGCTCTTCATAAATGTACACCCTCTCTAAATGCACATTTTTAAAAATTTTTCCTATAATTCCAGGGGGTGTATTTACGGTATTCGTCAATTTGTAACAGTATAAATTCGAATAGTCAGTTCGATATAGAGCTACTGTACGTATAAAATTTGCGTACAACTTACACTATATACTGCACTATGGTGAATTCTCTGATTAAGTGAATAAACCCGTGATTTAGTAAATTTTACTAATATTTGTCAGTTCTAATTACATCAGACGTATTATTCTACAATGAACTGTTTGGAAAAACAGTGAAATTGTAATGGATATATGTGCCAAATTTTCATATTGAAATAATTTTTCGGTTTGGGTAATTTGCCAATAAAGAACCTTTTAAAGTTTAAATGTATAAAAAAAATAACCTATATATGTTTTCCGTTTTTGTTTTTTGTTTATTTATTTATTTATTTTGGTACAATAATTTCTCGTCCAGAAAAGAGTTCTTCCACACTTATAGAAGTTGTAAAAATCTTAGCCTTCTTCTTTTCGTTCCAAAGTTCGTTCAAATCATTCTCGGTTGGCATGATACCAAACAAATTTGCTGAAAAACATAAAAATCCAAATAAAACGAATGACCACATACAAATTAAATTGACAAGCCGTAATACACAAGCATCGTAAGAGGTTTGTGACGGATAGTCATACGAAGGGGGACAATCTGCAGGAACCGGATACATTTCTTGAGAGGTTAAGAAGGTGTATATTACTTTAAGTCATAACGGAAGAAAATTTGAGGTAGTAAGTTGAGAATAATGGGAAATTGAGAAATATGAAAAAATATATTTTACTTGATACGATAAACCAGGTAATGATTAATATACTTTGCGTAAATTTATAAAATAAATTGGTTTTTAGTCAATTTCGACTAGCCGAAATAATGAAATAAACGAAAACCAAATTGATAATTACGTGAATGCTTCGTGAATAACTAGTGATTTTCTTAAGTCACACCGATTACGTATACCTGACACTACGAAACTCACTTTTAAAAGGGTAAATAAAGATGTGTTTTCTTTTTTTTTTTTAAAAAAAAAAAAAACAAGCGCATACGTACATGGCACTGTTGTTGCAATTATCAGATAGCTATTTATGGTTATTAAATTCACGCTTCTTGACAAAATACCTTCGAAAATACAATTTATACGGATTATATAACTTACCTCCATTCAGCAATCGTGCCAAAATAACTTGATCGATTTGGATATTGGTTTAAATTTACGTATTTGATGATTTCTTTATCACAAATTCAAAGATGATTAATATTCATTGATATGTGAAAAAAAAGCATGATTAGCATTCATTTAAAAGTGATAAACTTTTTTTAAAAAAAAAGGGAAAATTTTTTTGAAGGAAAAAAAAAAATACCCAGGACAGGACATACAAACGATAATAACAATAATGGTACTATTAAAATTGCTGCAAGAAAGAGCTTTTTTGTAACTGAAGTCATGTATACGCGTAGGTTGTAAATATCAATATAAATGTGATCAAGACGATCATTTTTATTCCTTTCGTTTGGAAAAATATTTTCTATTTGGAAATGCGCCTATGTGATCGGATGGCTAAGCACCATGTTTGGTTGTTTGTAGGCTTGGAATTGGC